CAAAATGTTGTGCATATTTTCACAGTTCATGCATGATATTTTATTATATATACAGATAATGAAAAAAATATACTGTATATATCATGGGGTGCAATTTTTGCAGAAAGTTCACAAAAGACCTGTTAGAGCATTTCAAACACTTCAGTGATAGTATCCATCAAAGAGTTTTTACAGCCGATACACATGCAATGATCAAAGCTAGCCGCCATAATTGAATCGTGTTTCCTAAAACAATCAGAGAGTCAACATGACAACACCTGTCCCATATGCGAGATCAACGGACAACGAATTAAGGAAGAGTGTATACTAGGACTTACGATAATTTTACATAGAAAGCATAAAGTAGTGTTTGTTGTTTATGAAAACGTGTTGTTCACATGGTCAAATCGTTGATTGGCTGCATTTCATGTCTTTGTTTTAATTGCATGTTGTTCCTACTTGAGTATTTGTCATGACTTGACCATGAATATTTCGCTTGGTATGATTATTGACGCGCGATCTTTTTGCACTAAGAGCGCGAAAATTAATCCCACTCGAAAATAACTACGATTACAGTATATAACTTTTCCATAAAATATCAAAAATACCTTCAGTGCCATTTGGGTTCTGTTATAGTATCCATGTCATTTCATTGTATATTCTTGTTTATGTATACTAACACCGGTCACCATCTTGGTTTTCCTAATTTCCACCTTCTTTTTCTGAATTGGGAACCATCCTAATTCACTTCAATTCTTTGTTTTCCATCAGTAGACTTAGTTTCTTTGTCACTTACCTTCCACTGATTGGCTTCTCTTATGCCAAGCAATTCTTTTCTTGGCTATGATTGGTCCTATTTGTCCTCCATAGTTTTCCTGTTGCCTACCTGTGCATTGTCTCTCAGTGTGTACCTACCTCCCATTAGTAATAATTGGTTTATTCAATAAAGGGGCCACAGGCCCATTATACAGTTACATAAGTCATATCAGGAAAGTGGAGGTCAATAAACATACACTTAATGGGTTGTCCAAGTTTTGTTAAGGTAATTGTTATGTTGTTGAATGCAAGGAACAAAAACTTCGCTAAACGATATAAAATACCTGAAACGTGTGATGTGCAAAGTAATACCAGTTTATCATAAGAAGGATGAGTACAATAGAACTCAGGCAAAATTGTATGTCTGAGATTATAGTAAAAAGGACATTCCAAATACGTGATATTCTGTCTCAATTACAGGTATAACACAAAATGGACATAATCTAGAATTTCTTTTCAGACCAGATTTTCGTCCAGACTCTATCACTAACTGATGGCTTGAACAACGAAATATACTCAGAGCCTTACAATAAGCTGGTAACATCCAGAGAAGTTAAATACACCTCTCTCTCAAAAGAAAGTTTAATGTCACAATATAAATTCAGTTAAGGATAAGAATGAATACGTGTCAACAAAGTTTGTGTATCTATATCAATACATCTATTTCTAATAGTTCCTATAAAAGATGAAAGGTCGAAGTCTAGTTGGTTTTTCCATACATATCCAAAACCATACTTGTCTAATAGCTGTTTTACTTGTAACGCCCAATGAGAGACATTCTCTTTTGTACAGGTGAGTCACCATTTCACTATTTCATTATATCTCTATATTTTGATATGTTAGGCATTTGTTAAATTTACTGAATATCAATTAGGGGTATATGTAAATGCTAACCTAGAATATATAATCAGATAATTTGATTTGAAACAAGCTATATTAATCATAAACTTGACAATTATTTTGGCCATGTGCTTATTTAGTGTCGGCCATGACAGTTGTCACATTAGCTCATGAAAATAGTCATACTTGGTACGCGTAATTACTGCAGTATCATAGTGTCAATTGCTTAATACAATACCTGTGATATTTGATGGGTGGATACTGTCACTTTATATAATTGTAAGCTGGCCATAATTTATTTGTTTTGCAAATGTTGTTACATGTGACAGTGTGTACCTACCTCCCATTCAGAGACATTCTCTTTTGTACAGGCACACACACCTCTACATCATCTTTATCAACAAAAGAATATTCTTATTGGCTGGTCGTTAAGAATTATTTATGAGCCCGGCGTCGTCCAGTGACCAGAGTTCTGTTCCACCCCTGGACCACGGTCTCAATGGCAAGAAATACAATGTACCTAATTTTCAGAAGACATTTCCATCAAATTAGATTTGCCTAAAATGACACTAGGTGACATCAAGATACAGGAAATTTCCCACAGAACAGAAAACAGTAAAGTGTGTGTGATATATGTTGAATTTTATTTGACTTCAAAGTGAATATTGAAGGGGATGGACATTGATGTCCCTCTGGCATCCAAGGAGTAAAACGCATGTGGTAATGTTGGATATTGTGTCAAGTTGGCACTACTGAATATTGAAATTGAAATCACGCCAAATATAATGGCTGTAGTCTAGAAATACTGTAGTACTTCAGCTTGGTACACAAAAGTTGTTGACAAATTTTCAGTATTATTCTGCCATGTGACAAAATCAAGGGGAAACAGTTGCTTGCCATTTCTCAGTTGAGCAATGGAGAGATCACCAAACACCAACAACAGTAGTCCAGCAATTAGCATCAGCAGCTAATGGATGAGGTATGCAGTGGTGTACTATAACAGGCCAAATTTTCCCCCTGGCCAAACCTTCCCCAAGGAAACTTTGGCCTAGGACAAACTTTCCACGGGGGAAACTTTAGCCTAGGCCAAACTTTCCCCCCCTAGGCTTAATCTTCCCTGTGGAAAGTTTTTAGCAAAAATGTGTACAAAAATATAAGTCAAACCTACTGTCAGTTTATAAAAAGGGTGGGGAAGAGTTGAGTTGAGGTGAGGTTGAGAATCTCCCGGCATTTTTGATATAAAACAAGTTTGCAGTAGGGTGGGGAAGAAGTAGCCTAGGTAGGATAGAATCTCCCCCTTTTGATATAAAAACAAGGGTGGGGAAGAAGTAGCCTAGGTAGGCCAGAATCTCCCCCTTTTGATATAAAAACAAGGGTGGGAAAGAAGTAGCCTGGCTAGGCCAGAATCTCCCCACTTTTCATAGAAAATATCCTAGTTTAAACAGGGGGGAAAGTTTGGCCTAGGGGGGAAACTTTAGCCTAGCCCAAACTTTCACCTATCCCAAACTTTCACTGGGGTAAGAATATCCTAAGACAAAACCTCCCCAAGGAAAGGTTGGCATAGGCCAGAATCTCCCCGGGGAAAGTTTAGACAAGGGAAGAAATGGCCTACTACACCTGTACATAAGGTACAGCACACTGGAGACAGTGGTATACATAAGGTAGGATACACTGGATACAGTGGTGTACATAAGGTACAAAACACTGGAGACAGTGGTGTACATAAGGTACAGCACACTGGAGACAGTGGTATACATAAGGTAGGATACACTGGAGACAGTGGTGTACATAAGGTAGGATACACTGGAGACAGTGGTATACATAAGGTAGGATACACTGGATACAGTGGTGTACATAAGGTAGGATACACTGGAGACAGTGGTGTACATAAGGTAGGATACACTGGAGACAGTGGTGTACATAAGGTAGGATACACTGGAGACAGTGGTATACATAAGGTAGGATACACTGGAGACAGTGGTGTACATAAGGTAGGATACACTGGAGACAGTGGTGTACATAAGGTAGGATACACTGGAGACAGTGGTGATACATATAAGGGATACACTGGAGACAGTGGTGTACATGATATGCACACTGGAGACAGTGGTATACATAAGGTAGGATACACTGGAGACAGTGGTGTACATAAGGTATGATACACTGGAGACAGTGGTGTACATAAGGTATGATACACTGGAGACAGTGGTGTACATAAGGTATGATACACTGGAGACAGTGGTGTACACTGGAGACAAGTATACATAAGGTAGGATACACTGGAGACAGTGGTGTACATAAGGTAGGATACACTGGAGACAGTGGTGTACATAAGGTAGGATACACTGGAGACAGTGGTGATACACTGGAGACAGGATACACTGGAGACAGTGGTGATACACTGGAGAGTACATAGGTACAGGTATGATACACTGGAGACAGTGGTGTACATAAGGTATGATACACTGGAGACAGTGGTATACATAAGGTATGATACACTGGAGACAGTGGTGTACATAAGGTAGGATACACTGGAGACAGTGGTGTACATAAGGTATGATACACTGGAGACAGTGGTGTACATAAGGTAGGATACACTGGAGACAGTGGTGTACATAAGGTAGGATACACTGGAGACAGTGGTGTACATAAGGTAGGATACACTGGAGACAGTGGTGTACATAAGGTAGGATACACTGGAGACAGTGGTGTACATAAGGTAGGATACACTGGAGACAGTGGTGTACATAAGGTAGGATACACTGGAGACAGTGGTGTATATAAGGTAGGATACACTGGAGACAGTGGTGTACATTAGGTAAGATACACTGAGACAGTGGTGTACATTATAAGTTGTTCACTGGTCACATGGGGGGCATGGGTTGATGTACCCTCGATGTTTGTTTTTGTTCCCGAGGGTACATCAAGCCTTGGGCCCCGATGGACCAGTGAACGTATTTATCTTATCGAGCCCCTTAATATTAAGTTTGAATTGTTTGAAGCAGGGGTACAAATCTTTTTGTAGCCATCGCTAGATTTTGCTGACATGAAAACCAGTTATCTCCCTTCCATCGATTTGCATTCGCAAAACATCGGTAATTTCCCTACATCATACGTGATTCAATGTTATTTGAGATAAAGAATTACTAACACAAAGTACCAAATGAGTTGCCATTGACAGCAGGGTACATTGAAAATAATAGAAGAGCGCTCAGCCAATCAAAAAGCCACATTTATGTATGAGGTAAGATAAAAGATAAGATACACTGGAGACAGTGGTGTACATAAGGTAGGATACACTGGAGACAGTGGTGTACATAAGGTATGATACACAGGAGACAGTGATAAGGGATTATGGGACCTACCTGGACTGTTGCTCTCAGTGTTGATCCTGTCCTTTGTATGAACTCCATCTGTCTGGATGTACGTCTGCATTGTCTTCCATCGAGTGTCCTTCTTAGGGTCTACCGTACACACCTGCAATACAATACAATCCTTCACACTTCACAGACAAGGAGAATAGTTATATGTTGCATCACTGATATGGGAATCTGCAGTATACCACATCACTGGCTGGGAGACATGTAGTATGTAGCATCAACAAGATGTGGATCCGTAGTAGACCTAATCACTGACAGGGACATCTGTCGTATACCACATCACTAACCGGGAGATCTGTTGTATACCACGTCACTGACAGGGAGATTTGTTGTATACATACCACATCACTAACAAGGAGATCCGTAGCATACCACATCACTAACAAGGAGATCCGTAGCATACCACATCACTGACAGGGAGATCTGTTGTATACCACATCACTAACAGGGAGATCTGTTGTATACCACATCACTGACAGGGAGATCTGTTGTATACCACATCACTAACAAGGAGATCTGTTGTATACCAAAAGCACTGACAGGGAGATCTGTAGTATACCACGTCATTAACAAGGTGATCTGTAGCATACCACATCACTGACAGGGAGATCTGTAGTATACCACATCACTAACAGGGAGATTTGTAGCATATCACATCACTGACAGGGATATGCGTAGTATACCACATCACAACAGGGAGATCTGTTGTATACCAAAGCACTGACAGGGAAATCTGTAGTATACCACGTCATTAACAAGGAGATCTGTAGCATACCACATCACTAACAGGGAGATCTGTAGTATACCACATCACTAACAGGGAGATTTGTAGTATACCACATCACTAACAGGGAGATCTGTAGTATACCACATCACTAACAGGGAGATTTGTAGTAAACCACATCACTAACAGGGAGATCTGTAGTATACCACATCACTAACAGGGAGATTTGTAGTAAACCACATCACTAACAGGGAGATTTGTAGTAAACCACATCACTAACAGGGAGATTTGTAGTAAACCACATCACTAACAGGGAGATCCGTAGCATACCACATCACTAACAGGGAGATCTGTAGTATAACACATCACTAACAGGGAGATCTGTAGTATACCACATCACTGACAGGGAGATCTGTTGTATACCACATCACAGGAGATCTGTTGTATACCACATCACAAACAGAGAGATCCGTAGTATACCACATCACTAACAGGGAGGAGATACCACATTTGTGTAGTATACCACATCACTAACAGGGAGATCTGTAGTATACCACATCACTAACAGGGAGATCTGTAGTATACCACATCACGAACAGGGAGATCCGTAGTATACCACATCACTAACAAGGAGATCTGTAGTATACCACATCACTAACAGGGAGATCTGTAGTATACCACATCATTAACAGGGAGATCCATAGTATACCACATCACTAACAAGGAGATCTGTAGTATACCACATCACTAACAGGGAGATCTGTAGTATACCACATCACTAACAGGGAGATTTGTAGAATACCACATCACTCACAGGGGGATCCGTAGTATACCACATCACTAACAGGAAGATCTGTAGTTTACCACATCACTAACAGGGAGATCTGTAGTATACCACATCACTAACAGGGAGATTTGTAGTATACCACATCACTAACAGGGAGATCTGTAGTATACCACATCACTAACAGGGAGATTTGTAGTAAACCACATCACTAACAGGGAGATCTGTAGTATACCACATCACTAACAGGGAGATTTGTAGTAAACCACATCACTAACAGGGAGATTTGTAGTAGTAAACAACATCACTAACAGGGAGATCTGTAGTATACCACATCACTGACAGGGAGATCTGTAGCATACCACATCACAGACAGGGAGATCTGTAGCATACAACATCACTGACAGGGAGATCTGTCACTCCATAGTGCACCACATCACAGACACTGTGGACTGTCACTCTGTAGTGTACCACATCACAGACACGGTGGACTGTCACTCTGTAGTGTACCACATCACAGACACGGTGGACTGTCACTCTGTAGTGCACCACATCACAGACACGGTGGACATATCACCACATCACATCACAGACACGGTGGACTGTCACTCTGTAGTGCACCACATCACAGACACGGTGGACTGTCACTCTGTAGTGCACCACATCACAGACACGGTGGACTGTCACTCTGTAGTGCACCACATCACAGACACGGTGGACTGTCACTCTGTAGTGTACCACATCACAGACACTGTGGACTGTCACTCTGTAGTGTACCACATCACAGACACGGTGGACTGTCACTCTGTAGTGTACCACATCACAGACACGGTGGACTGTCACTCTGTAGTGCACCACATCACAGACACGGTTGGACTGTCACTCTGTAGTGCACCACATCACAGACACTGTGGACTGTCACTCTGTAGTGTACCACATCACAGACATGGTGGACTGTCACTCTGTAGTGTACCACATCACAGACACGGTGGACTGTCACTCTGTAGTGTACCACATCACAGACACTGTGGACTGTCACTCTGTAGTGTACCACATCACAGACACTGTGGACTGTCACTCTGTAGTGTACCACATCACAGACACGGTGGACTGTCACTCTGTAGTGCACCACATCACAGACACTGTGGACTGTCACTCTGTAGTGCACCACATCACAGACACGGTGGACTGTCACTCTGTAGTGCACCACATCACAGACACGGTGGACTGTCACTCTGTAGTGTACCACATCACAGACACTGTGGACTGTCACTCGGTAGTGTACCACATCACAGACACGGTGGACTGTCACTCTGTAGTGTACCACATTACTGTTTTGGTGGATATGGCACCCAAGTGTACCAAATTACTGTTTTGGTGGACATGGCACTACAGCGGGCCACTTTACTGCTTTGGTGACATGGCACTCTAGTGTACCACATTTGATTTGGTGACATGGCACTCCAGTGGGCCACATTACTGTTTTGGTGACATGGCACTCTAGTGTACCACATTACTGTATGGTGGACATGGCACTCCAGCGGGCCACATTACTGCTTGGTGGACATGGCACTCCAGTGTACCACATTTGATTTGGTGACATGGCACTCCAGTGGGCCACATTACTGTTTTGGTGGACATGGCACTCCAGTGGGCCACATTACTGTTTTGGTGACATGGCACTCTAGTGTACCACATTACTGTTTTGGTGGACATGGCACTCCAGTGGGCAACATTACTGTATGGTGGACATGGAACTCCAGTGTACCACATTACTGTTTTGGTGGACATGGCACTACAGCGGGCCACTTTACTGCTTTGGTGACATGGCACTCTAGTGTACCACATTTGATTTGGTGACATAACACTCCAATGGGCCTCCATTATGGGACATAACACTCCAATGGGCCACATTACTGTATGGTGGACATGGAACTCCAGTGTACCACATTACTGTATGGTGGACATGGCACTACAGCGGGCCACTTTACTGTTTTGGTGGACATGGCACTCCAGTGGGCCACATTACTGTATGGTGGACATGGCACTCCAGTGGGCCACATTACTGTTTTGGTGACATGGCACTCTAGTGTACCACATTACTGTGTTGGTGGACATGGAACTCCAGTGGGCCACATTACTGTATGGTGGACATGGAACTCCAGTGGGCCACATTACTGTTTTGGTGACATGGCACTCTAGTGTACCACATTACTGTGTTGGTGGACATGGCACTCCAGTGGGCCACATTACTGTATGGTGGACATGGCACTCCAGTGGGCCACATTACTGTCTTGGTGGACTGGGACTGGTCAACTCACCACGTGATGGACAGTCTCCGGGACAGCATCTGCTCCCTTCAGGTCGATCCAAGTGGGGAAGTGCATGAGCCGTTCCTGCAGATAGAGACAAACTAAAGGTGGACCAACAGATCAGGTAGCATCCATGGAACTGATTCGTGGCTTTGGTATAAAAAGAGTGCACAGACGGGGCATCTTTAAGTGTCTAAAACACCATCTTATCTGATGTGTATTACATAAAGATCAAGTTGGATGTTTGCAGTATTACAATGTCAGTAAAATACTTCTCATTTGTGTACACTAGGGCTGTACAATATTACCGGTACAGTATCTTGCGATACGATTATCGTGATATGGTTCAGATTCTGCAATATATTGGGTCATCCAGAGTTAGCCCCCTTTGAATTATATGCCCTTGACTTCCATGGCAACAATATGTGCTCTAAAAGTGTCAAATATACTTTCGGCTTCAAATTAAATTTAGAGACTATCAATTCGGTCTAACATTCATCTAATTTCCAAACACAGTACGTTTATCTCCATTCTACCATAACCGACTTAACATCGAACTTCCTCGTCTTGCGGAACACACTGCATAATCCAGCATGGGACGAGAGGCGAATTGAACTCGTTTGTGAAGGGAGTGGTAGGTTCTGTTCATATTATTTTTAACATTGCAACATAAAAAATATTCTGTCCAAAGAAAACAAACTACTGTTTATTCAATGCAATAATGTAAGACCTAAGAGCTTGGTTTTTATAATCATAACTCCATAAGACCGAAACCAGCCTTTTGTTTTGTGTGCCGGGTTACTGTACCCCCCTGGCCACACTATAATATAATCGTCTGACCTACTTATTTTCTTGAAAGTAGACAGTTACGCAACAGTTTGAAATGCGGACGAGCCAGTGTTTACATTTTGCGAAAGGTTGAAATTCAAAGTGACAGTGGAAAATACTTGACTGACTGTCAAACCTGAACCCTGCAGAATCGAAGAATAGATCTTTTTCTGATCGACCTATGACCTGTAACTCATCAAAGACTGTTGATTTTTATGACCGGCTAGTGTCAATCATGATTTCATGTACGTGCCTCCACCCCGACATGCGACGAAAGAGTGACAGTGCTGCGTTGTGTACATGCGACTAACTTGGGATTCTTTGGAACATTGTTCTCATCATTTGGGACTGGATTGTGGTCAAGCTATTCAAAGTGTACGAACATAGCAGTGAAAGCCTTGCGGGGAAGGAGGCAGAGAGCGGAATTCTCATGGTTCAATGTTTGACATTTTGAACGATGCAACAGGACATGATGGAGTATGAGTGGCAAATTTTGTGTTTCGCCTGACCGTTATCTTGAGAATTTCTCATTCTAAACGGAAACAAATATACCATTTACTAGGTAGGTAAATGTTTACAGACGTTTGCCGCACAAATAGGGATAGATAGGGACGTTTTTTACAAGGTTTTCTGATTTATATGTTAGATATTGTTTTTTATGTTTTATGTAATTGAGTTTGAATATTTTTATAATAGAAGGTAATAATTATGATAGTGCGGTTCCCTTATAACTGTGGAAGAGAAATCGTAAAATTGTATTTTTCGAGTTTTAAAAAATGTTTCATCAGCATTTCCATCACGTCTGTTGTGCTGATATTAGTCATGTTGGTGGCCAAGCTGAAGTAGTGCGGCAGTGTTGAATACGTGCGCAGTGAAGCGCTGTGAAATCAGACGCATTTTCAATGCAAATTGATAACGTCTGATTTTATGGATTGACCAATCAAATTCGAGCATTTCACGTAGCCATGGTAGAATTCAAAAATATTTCATTATTTTTGTTTGTTTCATAATGGGACACATGTTATCAATTTATCATAAAGGCTTAAGTCTTATAAATTTTGTAGGACTGTATAATGACATTCTAGTCAAGGATCTTAGCATTGGAGGTTACATTAGTTTTTAAGCTCAAGTAGTTCACCTAAATCATGTTTTTGTTTCATTTTGCAATAGTTCATGTTAACACATGTTTATATTGGATTTGAATCTGAATGAATCACTTACATACGAGGGGCAATCAAAAAGTATGTAGAATCACCAAGAAAACTACATAAATGCAGTTATTTTTATGTTTTATTTTTCTACATATTATCTGTCAAGCTCAAGCAATTTGGTTTTGCTATGTTCCAGTCTCTCGATTCCCATTTTGTTTGACCGTTTATCTTGGTACCCTAAAAAAAGCAAAATCTACAATAATGTAATTTTCTGATTAAAATTGATATTTTATACTTATCCTGGCTCATGCTACTTGCTTGTCTTCTTCTTCTTGCGAACACAGTGGAACACTTGTATCTCACAATTGAAGTTCCCTTCAATGTAAAATCACTAATTAGTACTCACCACGAGTTATCTGTCCCCTCAAAAGCGCGGGAACGAGGGCGCCACCTCCTGCCATGTGCCTCACTCTCTCCTTATATAGCGAGCCCAACACTTGAATTTTCAGGGAAATCCAAAGTGTTATGTGGGGAGGACGGGAGGGCTTACCTCATGAGTCAGGATAAGTATAAAATATCAATTTTATTCAGAAAATTACATATTTTTCCTTATCCTGACTCATGCTACTTGCTTGTAGAATCCGACGGAAACGGAGGTGGGAATACAGAATACTTTAGGTTTTAGATAATTAGTGATTTGTACTGTAATGACTGTAATAACCCTTATGGGAACTTCATAAAGGCACTGAATTGATGAATTCCTGCTGCTAACTTATCAGCTGCCCTATATGGGTTATTACAATATAAATATCAAGATAAAAGTATATATAACATGAATACTATGCTTAAGACTAAATAGACTTAAGCTTGACAATATGATAGCATAAACTTCATAGAGTTTGTTAGCTAATATACTTTTATGATATAACTATAGTACTGAGCTTAAGATATGATTAAACTTAAGCTAAATATATAATAGCAAAAAACTCCGTAGAGTTTGTTAGCTAATATACTTTTATGATATAACTATAGTACTGAGCTTAAGATATGATTAAACTTAAGCTAAATATATAATAGCAAAAACTCCGTAGAGTTTGTTAGCTAATATACTTTTATGATATAACCATAGTACTGAGTTTAAGATCTGATTAAACTTAAGCTAAATATATAATAGCAAAAACTCCATACAGTTTGTTAGCTAATATACTGTTATGATATAACAACCATAGTACTGTGCTTAAGATAATAAATGAACTTAAGCAAAATATATATAGCATATAGCTATTTAGTACTGTTATAAGATAAGTAGTAAAATCTGTAAGATTGACTTATCTTCTCCGAGGAACTGTCAACTGTTGTGCAAGGACCATGGGACCGAAATGGTGGATACCTGAGACGTCCTCTCAGATAATGGTTGGCAAACACCATATCGGATCTCCAGAAGCAACCCTCCATTATGGTATTCCAAGAGCAGTTGCCGTGAAGAGCAAGTGTAGATGCTAACGCTCTAATTTCATGAGGATTAGATGCTCTTGGAGGGTCGAGTCCTGCAGCCTTGTAAGCACGTAGTATGACAGTTCTGATCCAAATGGAGATAGTGGTACGTGAGACTTCAGTCTGCGTAGCTGTTGATAGAGGAATAAATAATCTCTTGAATTTTTGTCTCCTCTGTTTGGATCGGTGGAGATATATTTTCAGTGCTCTTACTGGACATAGTGATAGATCCATCGTATCATGAGGTCCAAGTATAGATGAGAGAGCTGGGACGTGAATTAATCTGTCTGGTTGGCCTGGTAATTGGTTCTTGGCGATAAATCCCAACGTAGTCCCATATGCACGATGTTATGAATGTCATCAAAGCGTGTTCTCTCGTAATCCAATGCGTGAATCTCTGACATCCTGGCAGCCGTAGCTAGAGATAACAGGAACCAAGTTTACTGAGTCAGAAATTCGAACGATGTAGATTCTAATGGTTCATATGCCTCACTTGTGATGTGTTGGAGCACTATATTTAGATCCCAAGCTGGAGCGTGAAATCTGCGTTTCTGATCCTCCAATCGGAATGCTCGTAGTAAAGCGAGTAACTCTGGGGTCTTGTTTAGCTTGACACCCGTTCTCATAGTTATGACCGAGCTTATTGCTGCAAGATAAGTAGATAAGGTGGAGCCTTTTTGATTATAGTCTGACGTAGATAACATAAGTAGTCCGCCACTTGAGGATGAGTAGCATATCTAGCTGTAAATCCTTTCTTTGCAGCATAATTGACAAAACTGTGCCACTTGTCATCGTACAAGTTGCGAGTGGAGTTACGCAAGGCAAGGGTGACTGCTTTCGCCGCTCTGGCTGAATAACCTTTTTATTTAGACGCCTTAATACAGTCCATAATTGAAGTTGGAATGCTTTTGGCTTTCCGTGTGCTTGTTTGGTGTGCGGATGTATTAACAGATTTGGGCACTTTGGAAGTTGTAGTATTGGTTGTCCGATTTCTTGAATAAGAGTAGGAAACCACGTTCTCACTGGCCAGTAGGGCGTTACCAAATCAGTTGGATTTTGAGTAACACTTGTGGGATTAACGCTGGCGGCGGGAACGCGTACGCGTTGAGTCTTTCCCACGATATGCTTAGTGCGTCCGTTGCCCATGCTAGTGGGTCTGGAACTGGTGATACAAATGTTGTCAGTTGATTGTTGATTTGAGTGGCAAATAGGTCTATGAGTGGAGCATCCATTCTGTCGGCGATGGTAGGTGTGGCCGAGAGAGAGCGTCTGCTATTACATTTTTTGCTCCTGGAATGTGACATGCTCTGACATGTATGTTGAGATTGTCGATTAAATCGAACAATTGAAAACATAGAGTCAATAGGTTCAGGGACCTGGTTGAGCCTTGTTTATTCACATAAAACGCCACTGTCGAATTGTCTGTGTGAATCATCAACTGAGCATTCTGTAGTAAGTTGCTTCAGTGCATTATGGCGTTTATCATTGCTTGATGATGAAGTTCAACTGTAGTCTGAGACGTTGTGGATCTGGATCCACTTGTATCCCGTCGTCGGGGTAAAACGCTGCTGCGAAGTCCTTGACGATGTAGGTGAACAACCAGGGGTGACT